AAGGAAAAGAAGAGGCTAAAGAATATCTGCATCAATTGCTACGACCACTTTATCGCTCCGGCTGTGAATGAAAATTCCTCCTTGGCTGCAGACGCTGTAAAGGTGCAAACTCTACAAGATATTGACCTTATTTGCCATGCGCTTTCTACTTTGGAGTGAGTCTCTCTCTCTCTAAAGTTATGTTTGCCTACCTAAGACGTGCTTTCTTATGAACATACATTTTTATACTTTTTTCCAGATTATCAGAGCTTAATAGTAAACTTGAGGGTGCCGGCGATACTACTGAGTCCTTCAAGATTTGGAAAGAGGAGGTATATCTGAATTCCGTTTATTATAACTTTCTAATGCTTAATGAAATCTTTTTAACGAATGATCCTTAATGAATTTTTGTTTTATAATTATTGTTCAACACTTCAGAAGATTGTATATAAAAATATGTTTTTGAACTTCGTTCAGTTGTGTGCCTTATTCGATTACGATTCTTTGAACATTCTGGATATTGGTTCATTCTACCTAATTGGAAGATTAAGCATATCTCAGGTCACTGATGGCTAGGTTCAGTAAATATTTTATGGTTGCGTTTTCAATTTTCTATCGTGGTTAACTAAAAATAAAACCGGCCTTATAATTTCTTTTTATGATCCGTGCTAGTTATTGAACACTTGAAATCAAAATATCAATGTTTGTTCCTTTTATTCAAGTATGAATTCATGTTCGCATTTTCATGCTAATTGAGGGAATAACAGATGAGAAGAAGTGAGAATACACTGCCGTGTGTCGGACGTGTTATGGGCGATCATAACGTTGCGAGGCCAATCACTTTGGTTCGTTGTTTTAGCATCATGTTGTTCTGCGTCCAGTGGCTGATTCCTTCGTCTTGGGGCAACCATTGTTGTCACAATCTCAATACTGAATGTATTTTTATTCTCATTTACACATTCGCCCACGAACTTTAATAATTGATATCCGTGATCCGGCATGACAATTCCGATTTGTTTCTACGGTAGTGAAAGTGCCAATACGAACGTTTTGAATGATCATCATGTTGATTGTTAATTTTGACATTCAATGACTTGTGTTATGGAAGCTGTGTTTTTAATCGGGATTTTTTAAAACCTTGCCTTTCTTCCTTCTGAATTGTATTCACTTCAGTCCGATTATATGGACTTTGGTGTGGGATATCATAATAGGCTTGAAATTATATTTCGATTTACTAGTTACATTGTAGAGTTCTAAATAGTTCTGTCAATGGCACATCTTCTTAATGAATTGAAATTGATTAGGCGTTCCGGCTCTTTGAAAAATTCTCTTTTGTCTCATTCTAGTTGGCCCGGGTGCGTAAAAAGTCAGCGGCACCAGGCCTCAAAACCTCTGATTCCAAGGTCTCCCTCACCGCCCAAAGTGCATCCAATTCTAAATGGACTTTTGAAATGACCCAGGTTCTTATTAAGGCCGTGAATCTCTTCCCTGCTGGGACCCAGAAGCGGTAACGTGATTATTTCTTTCTAGTTAGACATGAAAATGTCTTTCACTTTGGAATTTCTTTATTTAGTCTCTTTCTCCTTTCTCTAGGTGGGAAGTTATTGCTGCTTATGTGAATCAGCACTCAGTAGGTGTTGAGGTAACAGCCAAAGAGGCACACAAACAGGCCAAATCTGTCAGTGAAAATTGTAGGTACTACTATTTGTTATTCGGTAGTATACCCATATTAGAGTGAGTATTATCTGTTATGCTTACTCGTGAAGATGGTGTGATGAAACAAGAGACCAATGCAAAAGCCTTTCAGAACTTTGCAACAAGTACCAAACAATCAGATGCAACGAAATCGGTGACTACTACAGATCAAATTGAAGGTATGCACCCCCTTTTACCCTCTAATAAGCAATTGTTAAAGGTTATATGCCAATAAATCGATATAGAATGAGGGTGTTGAAGGTCTATACGAGTATGAAAGACAGACCAGTAAGTAGTAAAGAGTGGAAATGTGGAAAGGAACGCCCATGTTTCTACAATGGACATTGACCATGGGGTTAATTATATTTGTCTTTTATTTTCCACATTGACTATGTTCATTATAATTGTATGATCCATGTTTCTAATTCTGGCTGAAGCCGAGAGACCTTGGACCCGGGCTGAACAAAGTGCCTTGGAAGCAGCCTTGCGTTCAAATCCAGCTAACCCTTGTGAACATCCTGCAGTTCGTTGGCAAAAAATTGCAAATGTGGTGGGCACACGTACTAGCAAGGAGTGTCTTCAACGGTACAAAATACTTCGTTGAACAAGTAAGTACCCCACAGATTCTAGCAATTATTAACTATGTCATTAAAAAATTTACTTTAAGTCTAAGCAGCCAGATTAAAATAGGATGTAGCCTTATTATACAATAAGGAAGGAGACATGGGATCGAACAGGAATAGGCATTGAGATCGAAGTTCTCAGTTGTTTTGAGACGTCCACTTTATCGGATCGTATGTGGTCTACTAATATTTCTGATAGATAAAATCGATTGGTTTTAGTACCTCAGCAGAATGCATGAAACACGCTCCTAATATTTGACTTAAGTAGAGAGAATGAATTAATGGCGAACTTGCACTCCCATTCCTCTTATGTGATTGGCCAAATGCATTTCTGACTGCTCATCGATCCATTGAATGTTGATTTTGTACTGTCTGACTTCACCAACATTCACAGTGGTTTTAGCACCGCCAATACATCCTATGAGTCTAAATTATATGCAAATGGCTCTACAATATTATCAATAGAACAGAGAGAATCCTTTGTTTGATCTATTCTTTCTCTGGGTTTGAGTATTTATGTCAATAGAGCATTAGTACTTCTACTGAATTTATCAAAAATGCTTTTGCAAGGTCCAAGTTTGTTAAATGGATATTCTCTACTGTGTGTCGAATTGTTCTTTTCCTATTGACGTGGCCTATTAGATGGGATTCTTCATTTAGATAGTTACTATTTTTGGTTTGCTTAGTGTCCTACATCTTTTCGCCACTAAATTGATTTATAGTTTATTAGTCACTATAATTTTACTTTTTTAGGTTAAATTGAAGAAGGCGGCTCAGGCAGCAGCTGGTGTGTCTATGAAGTGATGTATTCGTCCAGTTGCTTCTCCAGTTGGTGACATTTTATAACTGGATTGTAATGATAAGATCCAATGCTTGTGCAAAATGTTCTTGCATATGAAGTGCGTCTTAATATTTTGATGAAAATGAAGAGAGTTCTAACTTTTAATCTGGGTTATCTTTGTTGGCCACTCTATGTATGTGATGAGGAAGGGTGAAGGACTAACTTCAGAAACCACTAACATTGAGAAGAGCTAGATGGTTATCCTTCTCAATCCTTGGAAATCTGTTACCACTAGATCGAAAGAAAGCAATGGTTGCGGGATAAGTTTGACTGAGCCGATGAAAGGACGCAGAGAGGTTATTTGAAAAATTAGGAGTACTGGAAGTAATTAGCATCCATGTTGTATGTATCTGTTTAATTGGTTTTAAAAGGTAAATATTAAGATGCATGTGCTTGCTCACAACTGATGAAATACGTATATAACGAGGTCAGCAGTTGTGCGTGCGGTTTGAGTTCTCTTTAGGTGGAACGGTCGACTTTATGGACTTACAATTACCGAAACTATAGGAATAAAACTGAAGACGTCTAACTCAAGCAATCCTTTACTATTGAGAAGACATGTCCTTATAGAGAATTCGATATGGAATATGGCCGATCAATATTGGCGACTTTGGATTCTTTGCTGGTTTACTTCCATAAATAACTCTGAGCACAATTTCAAAAGCGAGTTCAGTAAATGAATGACGAACTTACGAGTGTGCTTGATCGAACGCATTGAAATTATTCGGTTTAGCCCCTTTTTAGAAACAGACCCTCGAATCACTTTTGAACTTCGCTTGAATATGCGAATTCAGGTACATACCAGCCATCTGACTTAGGAGTGATACAATTTGGCTGGCGATATGAGGGAATTAGGTATTTATTTATTTATTTCAAATGGCAGGCGATTTGATAGCTATCATTGGCCATTTAGCTGACTTCAGGCTATAGAGAGGGAAGGTTCGTCAAAGTAGCAGAAAGTCGAGGGGTGGAGTACAGAAGAGCGATTCACAGATGTAAGAGGCTGACAGACGCAAAGGTAGAGAAAAAGGTAAGATGAGTACTGTGAAGGGTCGAATATGGCAAGCAGTCGGATCATGGTGGTTTGAAGTCAGAAGTCAACTGCCAGTTAATAGACTTTTTTGCTGTATGAGTATACGTTGCCCAGGGGGCACCAAGATAATCTTCAATAAAAGGAGGGGTGCGCGATAGACTTACCTCCACGTGGTGCACCCTGGACAACGTACGATAGACTTACCTCCACGTGGTGCACCCTGGGCAACGTACTTTCTTACGGCAAAAATTCTATCACTCGGCATTCGTTTTTTGTCTATCACTCGGCATTTGATTTGACTTCGATTTATTATGCTTCAAAAAGGCTATAAGAAAAATCGCCCTCGTCAGGGCGACAATGCTATAAGAAAAATCGCCCTCGTCAGGGCAAATCACAACCGCCCCCGTCATAGCCAATAACATATCTTCAGATCCTCCAGTGGAATGCTGGAGGAATGTCTCCGACAAAGGGCCAAGTACAGAATATCCTACAAACCTATGATGTAGACATTTTCACAATTAGAGTTAAAATACAGCTCCTACAAACCTATGATGTAGACATTTTCACAATTATATAATTATGGAAGCAAACATTTAGGATGACAAACTGAAGTACTACCAATTCCCAGCTCAAACCTATGATGTAGACATTTTCACAATTATGGAAGCTAGCATTTCGGATGACAAACTGAAGTACTACCAATTCTCATGTTACACCCTGTACAATCTACTTAAATACCTGCAAGTTGCAAGTGGAATTCTAACTGGAGTTAAAGATGGTCTCACTTCACACTACGATCTAATCAAGAGTATGGGCTAGACATAATACATATGTGAAATAATCAGATTAAATGTTTGGAAATGTCAAAACCACTTCAAGTTATATGCAGTCTATAATCCACCCCAGAATTGTGCCAACTTTGACATTCTGAACATCTCACACAAAACCATAGTACTAGGAGACTTCAACGCCCACTCCACCAGATGGGGCTACAAGGATACAAACATAGCTGGAAAGGAAATTGAAGACATGCTAAACAGCAACATTCTGGAACTTATTTATAGAAATGAGGATCCGGCTACATATTTGCACTACAATGGATCCAGAACAACTCCTGATTTACTCTTGGCTTCAAGCAACATCAGTGAGCATACACACCGCAAAAAAATTGACGATCCTGGTTCTGGTCACAAACCAGTCATTGCTAGTATTACCATCGGCACCAAAAGCATGTCAAGGAAAGTGCCAACTAAGCTGTCATGGAACTTCAAGAAGGCTGACTGGCCTAGATTCACAAACCTTTTGGAGAATGAACTTCACACAAGTCCCCTCAACTTCAACCAACATCCTGATAAACTTTGCACTGATATCACGAATATTATGATCAGATGTGCAAAGAAAACTATTCCCCGAGGCAAAACTAAACATTATCGAGTGTTTTGGTCTAAACACCTTGAGAAACTGAAAAGAAAGAGGGACGCCCTTCGCAACACTGCTGATCAGACTGGAAGAACGGAAGACGTAAAGGCCTGGAGACGACAATCAGCTGTCCTAAGGCGAGCCATCTTACAAGCCAAACCCACTTCCTTCGACAAGTTCATCTCAAATATCAACTATCAAAGTGATAGCCAACGCACTTTCAAATTTCCGAGAAACCTGCAAAACAACAGAGAAAGACCCAAGAAAGAACCAATACGCTTAAACAGCAAATTGCTTACCACCGACACCGAAATAGCTAACTGCTTTTCGAGGTTCTATTCCCACAAGCAAAAGAAAAACCCTTTTGTCAGAAAATCTTCAAGAGATTTAAACA